TTCACTTATTACAAGAGGATTTGTTTTTTTCTAAAAATCTTAGATTCTTTTGGAATAAATTTAAAAAAAAAAATGTTTCATGCGGGCTGGACCTGATTTCTATATATGCGGTCCAAAAGGTGTAAATCATCCATCTTAAAGATGGATGCAAGTAGGTGTTCTATCTAAAAACAATAGAAACTAACGGTCCAAATGTTTTCTTACTAGAATTATCATTTTTAATTTTTTAAATTTATTTACTTCTTTATATCCATGATATCCATGTTAAAGATTACATGTCCTTAGAAATTAAGTCTTAAAATCCATCTCAAAAATAGATTTATTAAGAGGCCCGTATTGGCTTGGCCGTATGGAAATCGGGGCCATAAATCAATAACTTTAAGTTTTTCAAAAGATCTCTAAAAAATCATTTTTTAATGAAACTTATACAAATAAACATTTTTTCTATTCTTAAAAAAAGAAAAAGAAAAAAAAAAACATGTTGGAGAAGTTCTTCCTTTCCTTAATGTCCTCATGATTCGAACTTGCTTGAAATTCCCTTTTTTTCATTGTTTGGAATCTTTAAAATTTGATCGAATAAGCTTACTAGAGTGAAATTTAATGAAAAATATTTATTTAACCTAAAATTCCCTAAAAAAGTTCACAAAAGTCCTAGAAAAATGTAACTCCCCCTAAAAACGTATAGTACAGAAAAAGTAATTACCAACGTATTCCAATAAAAAATTTCTTTCAAAACAACAATATTTTCCCAAAAAAATGTATAAAATCAAAACAAGAGTAATCCAATGGAAAATATTCTTTACTTTAAACAAGAGCATCATTTCAAAGAGGGGAAGAGGGTGATTTAGTTACAATTAAATATTTAGGTGATTGGGAATCTGGGGTGGTGTTTGAGTATTTAAGGATTGCGATCGTGTAGTTTTGGTACAAGTAAGCTTTTTGTTTCTTTCTCTGCAGATATGCACCCAATGAAATAATGATATGCGTTGTGTCTTAATCTTAACAATAGAGTAAGCATACTATACGTTGCTGCATTTGATGAAAATTTAAGCCAAAAACAACGTCAACTAAGACTCTAAACGCTACCAATTCATACCATGAAAATATTGTTTTAGAACTTTGTTATATCTTCACAATAATTGTAAATTTTAATTTTATTTATTCCATATATATATATATATATATATATATATATAGTGGCAGTGATCTCATAGTAACGGTTGTATCATAATATAA